AAAACGCCCAGAGTGGCTGGGGAAGCCCAGCCAGATGGCGGGGTATAAATAATAAATTATTTATTATTATTATTATTATTATTATTATTATTATTATTATTATTTAAGATGTTTTATTTCTGTTTTTAATCTGTGGGAGCCACCCAGAGTGGCAGGGGAAACCCATCTAGATGAGGTGAGGTATAAACATCATCATTATTATTATTATTATTATTATTATTATTATTATTATTATTATTTCCACTAATCTTTACATACAAGCTTCATTCTCCTGGAACTGAAAGAATTGCATTTTCTTCTCTTTAATACAGTGGTGGCCCCGCAAGACGAATGCCTCGCAAGACGGAAAACCCGCTAGACGAAAGGGCTTTCCGTCGCGGAGGCGCTTCGCAAGACGAAGTTCCCTATGGCTTGCTTCGCAAGACGAAAACGTCTTGCGAGTCTCGCCATTTTTTTTCGCTCCCCCCCCCCTTTTTCAAAGCGGCTAAGCTGTTAATAGCCTTTTTACAGCTTAAGCCGCTAAGCCCGCTAAGCCGCTAATAGCGCTAAATCGCTAAATAGCGCTAATCCGCTTTAGCCGCCAATGGGGTTGCTTCGCAAGACGAAAAACTACTAGAAGAAAAGAATTGCGGGAACGGATTCTTTCGTCTTGCGAGGCACCACTGTAAAATGATGAATTTTCAGATTTGCATTTCATGAATTTAAAAGTCTTGAGTGCTGATGGAAGGATGCAAATTGTGAAGAAGCTCCGCAGAAGCCGATCCTGTGCATTTCTGGGGCACTCCACCAGTGTGCCTGCACAGATGCTTATCTCCCTGTCATCTCATCCCTCTTCCTCCCAGGAAGCAGGAGCAAACTCTGCTGCTGGGGGCAAGGTGTGCAGCTGCACCTCTCCTGCACGCATAGTCCATAAGTTTCATTCTCCACTCTTCAAGGGTCGGTAACTCCTCTTGTTTCCATTTTTGGGCCATTAATATTCTTGCCGCTGTTACTGCGCGTATTGAAAAAGTTTGTAATCCCTTCTATTTATCTCTCTTCCTGTTATTCCTAACAAAAAGGCTTCTGGTTTCTTTACAAATGTATATTTAAACATCTTCTTCAACTCATTGTATATCATTCCCAGAAACCCTTTACCTTCTTACATTCCCACCACATATGGAAAAAAGATCCTTCTTTTTCTTTACATTTCCAAAACTTATTACATGTTTTGAACATTTTTGCTAACTTAACCGGTGTTATATACCATCTATATACCATTTTCATAATATTTTCCTTTAACGCCGTGCATGCGGTAAATTTCATATTTTCGTTCCATACTTTTTCCCAGTCAGCCAATTGTATATTATAACCAAAGTCTCTGACCCAATGTATCATAACCAACTTTACCTCCTCATCCATCGTTTGCCATTCCAACAACATTTTATACATTTTTGACAAGTTGGGGCATGGTCTCTCTCTCTCTCTCTCTCTCTCTCTCTCTGTGTGTGTGTGTGTGTGTGTGTGTGTGTGTGTGTTAGATGCAGCACTCCCCCTCTTTGCTGGCCTTGACGTCGACTCCCACTGAGGCAGAAGCCCAGCTTCCATCCATGTGGGTAGTAAGCAATCACTGACAGCCCTCCATCATACTTGTCATTATGTGATTGAAAAACAAAATGCAATGTAATGTTTCACCCTGAAGAACAAAGGAGACACACACTCTGGTTCAAACTTGTCAGCAAGGCAGAAGTTGATAGCAACCCATTCTCTCATAGATCCAGCAATTAAACTGGAGAATAATTTATTCCACCTGAACAAATCCCTGTGAGACAATTTTACAGTCGTACCTTGGTTCTCGAACGCCTTGGTACTCATATATTTCAACTCCTGAATGCCACAAAACCCGGAAGTAAGTGTTCTGGTTTGCAAACGTTTTTCAAGAAGCCGAACGTCCGATGTGGCTTCCGCTTGACTGCAGGAATCTCCTGCAGCCAATCGGAAAGCCACGCCTTGGTTTTGGGGAATCGAACGGACTACCGGAACAGATTAAGTTCAAGAACCAAGGTACCACTGTAATTAAGTTCTTCAGTAAATGGGGGGGACAGCAGAGGTTGATGCATGTAAGTCCAAGTGCTATAGCATACAACTAGATAAGAGTTCTGTGCTGAGGAAAGTTCTGAAGTGCAGCATTCAAGTTGTCACTGTTATTTATTACAATCTTTTACCTGCCCTTCACCCTGAGTTCCAAAGTTGGGTTACAACAATTAAAACTCAATATTAAGGTTAAAATGCAATATTACACAATGATGATAATGATGATTTATACCCCACCCATCTGGCTGGGTTTCCCCAGAAAAACAACTTTACGTTATAAAAATAAGGTGGGTTCTAAAAATATACGCATCTCACGTGTCAAAAACCAGGGTAAAGAGGTGGGAGGGAGTTCTACAACTTAGGAGCCGCTACAAATAATGCCTTTCCTGGGCTGCCACCACCCCAAGCTTCTGAGGGCAGTGGAACAACCCATTTTTGTGGTTAGTAAACCCACTTTTGTACTTTGTATACACCAGGTGGCAGCTTGCCTTCTTCAATATTCATCGAGTAAATTATTTGCTCCTTCTTGCTACTCCTGCTATTTTCAAAAGGACTATTTCCAGAAGGAAATAGAAAATTGTGAAGAAGATTTTATGTGTAGGCTAGTACAGGACACCTGTGGTGACCTCATTACAGCCAGCTTGATCAGTTTTTTAGTTTCTTATCTGATCCATAGGAGCAGGTCAGGTCATGCGTAACATCAACAGCTTTTCCATCAACAGGAAATGAACGAGTTTAAAACCACAGTGGCTATGCGTTCATTTCCTGTTTATAGTGTGCCTGCAACCCTTAGAATCTTGTAGCACTCACAGAGACTGGGGTGGCATATAACAGCTCATCCTTTATCAAATAATACACTCACAGCTCAGAACATAGATCTGACCAAATAGTTTATTCAGCTAACACCTTGCCGTCTCTGAAACACACAGGAGAACTGCAAGAAATCGGTCCCGGATACTCGTGCACAAGCAATGAACGAGGAACAATGAATATTTGCTAGGCTGGTGGTAACTCAATAATAATAATAATAATAATAATAATAATAATAATAATTTATTATTAATACCCCACCCATCTGGCTGAGTTTCCCCAACCACTCTGGGCCCAATCAAATATTAAAAACAATACAGCATTAAATATTAAAAACTTCCCTGAACAGGGCTGCCTTCAGATGTCTTTTAAAGATAGGATAGCTACTTATTTCCTTCACATCTGAAGGGAGGGTGTTCCACAGGGTGGGCGCCACTACCGAGAAGGCCCTCTGTCTGGTTCCCTGTAACCTTACTTCTCGCAATGAGGGAACCGCCAGAAGGTCCGCGGCGCTGGATCTCAGTGTCCAGGCTGAACGAAGGGGGTGGAGACGCTCCTTCAGGTATACAGGACCGAGGCTGTTTAGGGATTTAAAGGTCAGCACCAACACTTTGAATTGTGCTCAGAAATGTACTGGGAGCCAATGCGGATCTCTCAGAACTGGTGCTATGTGGTCCCGGCGGCCACTCCCGGTCACCAGTCTAGCTGTCACATTCCGGATTAATTGCAGTTTCCGGGTCACCTTCAAAGGTAGCCCCACGTAGAGCGCGTTGCAGTAGTCCAAGTGGGAGATAACTAGCGCATGCACCACTCTGGTGAGACAGTCCGCGGGCAGATAGGGTCTTAGCCTGCGTGCCCCCAGCTCCCAGCCCCTCTAGACGGTCCAGAAGGGTGTTATGGTCGATGGTGTCAAAGGCCACTGAGAGATCCAGCACAACTAGGAAACAGCTTTCACCTTTGTCCCTAGCCCGCCGGAGATCATCAACCAGCGCGACCAAGGCAGTTTCAGTCCCATTGTGAGGCCTGTATCCCGATTGGAAGGGATCCAAATGGTCCGCATCCTCCAGGCGTGCTTGGAGTTGTTCAGCAACCACCCGCTCAATCACCTTGCCTAAGAATGGTAGATTTGAGACTGGGCGATAGTTGGCCATATTGGCCGGGTCTAAGAAGTGCCTGCTGCAGACTAATGACTTCCTAAAAATCACTGCAACCCCCCCCTCCCCACCGACATGACCTGGGTTGCTGTGCGTAAGAGAAACCTGGTGGGCAAACAGCGGCAAGGACAGGCCCATCTGCTTCATCCAACCAGGTCTCTGTCACACATGCCAGGTCAAATCCTCCATCCACAATCAGGTCGTGGATGGCAGTGGTTTTATTCATCATTGACCTGGCATTGCACAGCAACACTTTCAGGTCATGTGGGTTTCCCTTGCTGATTCCAGTATCCTTCCAGTCAGGACCGGACCTGGAGGCAGGGATGGTCCTCAAACAACGACTAACCCTGCCTCCTCGGTAATGACATGGTCTGGTCTTAGCATAACTCCTCCTCCTGCCCGTGATCACTGAGATCGGGTGTCCCAATACATTCCCCCCCGTGGAAGCTGCCCCAGCCATTCTGTTGGCTGAGGCCTACTCCCAGGCAGCCCTGACCCTTCCCCTTAAAAAGCAAAATACAAACTATATAATAACTTAACAGAATAATAAAAATAGAAGCACAGCAAAAAACAATAGTGTTAAAATTAAACTGTTCCCCACCCTAACTAAATACTTAACCAACCGCAAACAGAAATAAAATTAAAAAATTATAAAACATTATAAAAAACAACCACCACCATTTAAGATGCAGCAAATTAAAAGCAGTTAAAGCATTTAAAACCATTTTGTCACTTGCTGCAGGGAGCTGCTCAGGCCTCTAAACTGTGGGGGTGAGTGCAGGCTCCGCCCCCTAGGCCGGATGGAGTTGGCAGGAAAGGGAGCGGCCCACCCAGCACTCACTAGAGCAGCAGCAGCATCACAGTGGCATCAGAGATTGGAGAATCTCAACTGAGCAAGCCAAGAAAGAATGTGAGGATGGCGGGAAATGATTAAAGGAGGAGATTGCAGTAGTTGATCAGGCCCCCCTAATTGTTTATGTGGCTGCAGCGGGGAACAGCGCAGAGTTTGTAGGGGCGAGGACGGACCGTCAGCCCTATTATAGGCTTCTTATGGACTTCTCTCACTCCTTTTGGCAGCTGGAACCTGAATGCTCTCAGCAGGCTGGTGAAAAAGATGAAGAGCTCAATCTTTGCCATTTGCTCCCCTGGACACACCCGAGCACCTGCAGGAAAATGAAAAAAGAGGAAAGCAGGAACTGAATTATCTGCTATTCCACCTTTACCCCAGAGTGTTTACCCGGGGCACCAATTTGCTTTGATTCTGAGGAAAGAATCTGGGTGTCTGGGCCAAGGCCTCATTCAGTCTATGAAAGCATCCTGCAGCAACTCCTCTTTCTACGATTCCCGAGTCCCCCATGCCTCCCTTTCAACTTTGGGGTGTGGGGATGTCACTGAGAAAGTGGGCTTTATTCCAGGGGCTGCCAAGACCTGGCTCAGCATGAGATCAGGACTGGTTACTTATTTTATTTCAGTAATGTGTTTATTTAAATCTCCCTTTCAAGTATTGTTATGGGTTTGCGGGAGGCCAGATCTCCCCAAATTCCTGAGTCTAGTAAAAGTTGCTTTAGTTGCTTCCTCAAACGAAATACCTCTAAGCGGCTTACAAAAGACAATCTAAAGTGTTCATTAAAAATACCAGTAAAAGCAAACACGGAAAACAAGGTTCATAATGAAGGCAATATAAAGAATCAAACCAGTAATTTAAAAAGAATTATACATACTAAAATTACATGTTAAAACTGCATGCTAAAATCTCTATCATTAGCTAGTAGTGCTAATAGTAGTATTTAATACTTACCATTGTTTTTATGAATGATACTAGTTATTACTAATAATAATACTTATTATAACTATTTTTATTGGGTTGTATTCAATGCTAGTCCTTAGGGCGCATGTGCGCTTCTATTCTGCCATGATGCACCAATGAAAATGGTGGGAGAGAACTGTATGTTGGACTAGCATAATTTTGTGGCTCTATTTTCCATGCTAACAGAGCTGAGAATCATCTGGTAAGAAAACATCAAGAAAATGGAATAAAGTGTTGTCTGAATGCGACAGTTGGGGCTGCTTGCACATACCTGCACCAAATGGCAGAAATGCTTCTCTGTCCACAAACTGCCCGTCCTCGTCCAAAAAATGGTTTGGGTTGAATTTTTTAGGTGTTGCCCATTCCTTAGGATCAAGAAGAACAGAGCGGAGATCTGCAGCAATCACAGCCCCCTGCAGGGAAAGAAGACTTGTCTCAGGATGCATCTAAACAGAACATTGCACTTTTGCCCTTCCATTCCCCCATTTTCCACCCGCATCGCTCAGTGAGGTCCACCTCCGAGGGCCTTCTGGCAGTTCCCTCACTGCAAGAAGTGAGGTTACAGGGAACCAGGCAGAGGGCATTCTTGGTGGTGACACCTGTCCTGTGGCACGCCCTCCCACCAGATGTCAATCAAATAATCTGACTTTTAGAAGACATCTGAAGGCAACCCTGTTTAGGGAAGTTTTTAATGTTAGATGTTTTATTCTGTTTTTAATCTGTTGGGAGCCACCCAGAGTGGCTGGGGAAACCCATCTAGATGGGTGAGGTATAAACATCATCATTATTATTATTATTATTATTATTATTATTATTATTTCCACTAATCTTTACATACAAGCTTCATTCTCCTGGAACTGAAGAATTGCATTTTCTTTCTTTAATACAGTGGTGCCCCGCAAGACGAATGCCTCGCAAGACGGAAAACCCGCTAGACGAAAGGGTTTTCCGTCGCGGAGGCGCTTTGCAAGACGAAGTTCCCTATGGGCTTGCTTCGCAAGACGAAAACGTCTTGCGAGTCTCACCATTTTTTTTCGCTCCCCCCCCCTTTTTCAAAGCGTCTAAGCTGTTAATAGCCTTTTAACAGCTTAGCCGCTAAGCCCGCTAAGCCGCTAATAGCGCTAAATCGCTAATAGCACTAATCCGCTTAGCCGCCAATGGGGTTGCTTCGCAAGACGAAAAAACCGCTAGAAGAAAAGAATCGCGGAATGGATTCTTTTCGTCTTGCGAGGCACCACTGTAAATGATGAATTTTCAGATTTGCATTTCATGAATTTAAAAGTCTTGAGTGCTGATGGAAGGATGCAAATTGTGAAGAAGCTCCGCAGAAGCGATCCTGTGCATTTCTGGGGCACTCCCACCAATGTGCCTGCACAGATGCTATCTCCCCTGTCATCTCATTCCTCTTCCTCCCAGGAAGCAGGAACAACTCGGCTGCTGGGAGGCTACGTGTGCAGCTGCACCTCTCCTCACCAACCGCTCCTGCTGCGGATTACAACTCCCAACAGCCCCTGCCAACATAGATCAATGATGGGGGTCACGGATAATGTGAGTTGTGGTCCACCACATCTGGAGGACACAGCACAAGATGTCCCTGCATGAACTCCCCTCTCTTTTTTGGAAATGGAAGGAGCTGCAGTTACTTTCTACAGAATTTGCACTACAAGGGAATCTGCCTTCCCCCTGGGCTATAGAAATGCAACTGTTACAATGGTCTGTACCTTTGGAATGTGAAAACCGTGCAAGTTCACATCCTTCACGCTTTGCCTTGGAAGCCCAATTAAAAAGATATATCTTGAACGCTGGATCTCGTGAATCACAGCATTGGTGTAGGGCAGCTTCTTCCGATCTTGATAGCGGATTGAGTGAGATGAACCGAAAACATCTTCCATCTCCTGGTAGACTTTCTCTGAGGAAAATGGTGGAGAATTAAGCTTTGTTTCAGATGAAGCATCTCAAATTAAACAAGTTGAGCAATCATTAAGGGGTATTTGTTCCACAGGAAAGTATTCCACCTAGACCTGCTGGGGTGGAAAACCTAAATAATGATTTTCAGAAGGGTAGCCTCTTGCAGCAAGATCTACCGGGATCTTCCACAGATCTGGAGCATGGTGCTGTCAGTATGCTGGTGACACACAGCTCTGTATCTCCATTCCATCTGAATCAAGAGAGGCTTTGAAGGTGTTTGCCCGGAAGTAGTAATGGGCTGGATGGGGGCCAATCTGAAAGGAATTCAGGTCCAAGATCAAGAGGTCAAAATGGCCTCTTGCTGCCATTGCACAGTTCCCTCTCACCTTGAATATCTGGATGTGTCACCATGAGGAGCAGTGCCCATTGCAGAGTGGTAGCAGTTGTCTCTGTTCCAGCAATAAAGAGGTCAAAAATACACTGAGCCAGGTTGTCCTCATTGTAGGTAGAGTAGGGGTCATCCTTGTTCTGTTGTAAGCAATAGCGGAGGTTAGATTCAGTTCACAGTGACTCACAGGCCCCAGTCGGCTAAACTAAGACCAGTGGATCTTACACCAGTATAAGCCCTGGAAAATGGGCATTCCATATAGTATACAAGTATTAATAAAAATTGCAGGCAGCGAAGTGCCTCTTTAAATGAGGGGGTGCCTTTCCTGAGATTATACCTGCTGCGACACAGATGTGCTAAATCAGAAAAGTATACTTTTTGCTTCAAAACTATTGTTTTTTACATTTATGTACATAAATTTTATTGATTAATCAACATAAGTGCATACAGTTAATCGACTAAGACTTACCTCCATCAGGAACTGAGGAAGTTCCAGCTGTCTAGTGAGCAGAGGTCAAACAGTGACTGCCACAAGGAAGACCAAGGATGAGTAGAGGAATTTCCACCTGAGTAATCTGATTCCTGCCACTATCGGAACACCATGCTATTTCTCTTCTTGATACTAGACCTGAATGTGAGGGTGTTTCCATGTGACCTGCTCCTTGAGCATTCATCCTGATTTGTTTGTGAGGAGGTTAGATGCTGTTGCATCGCAGCAATTGTTACCCCGCACTTCCAAGTGCAATTCCCTGTCACTTTCTGTATCTTGGGGGGGGGAGTAGATCATTGTTCAAAACCTCCAACAATCCTCTATAATCGTGCACCCTAAATTTGCTTGTATGCAATTGAATCCCATCCAAAAAAACAACAATGACAGTCTGGAAGGAAAACCCCATTCTTATTGTGAGAATCTAGTCCAACCCCCACAATGCAGGAATCTCAACGAGATCATGCATGGCAGGTGGCCTTCCAGCCTCTGCACATAGGTAAGCTATGGAATTCCCTCTCATGGGAGAGAGCAATTGCCATCAACCTAGATGGCTTTAGTAGCGTTTTACCTTTTTGCAATCCTACTGGGAAATGATATATAATGAATTGAAGAAAATGTTGAAAATAACTTTTTTTAAAAAACAAAAAAACCAGAAGCCTTTTTGTTAGGTATTTTAGGTCAAGACATACCAAAGAAAATGAGGACTTTATTTATGTGTGCCACTACAGCAGCAAGAATGTTGACTGCACAAAATTGGAAGACTGGAAAAATACCAACTAAAGAACAATGGCAAGAGAAGTTGATGAACTATGCAGATACTGGCAAAAATGACAGATGGACTAAGAGAAAAAGACTTTGAAAAAGATTGGGAACCACTCATATTATATTTGCAGAAACAAAGAAGGTCAATAGACTTGATGGCAGGATTTAAATAAACATTCACATTATTAGCATTAGAAAATGTTTTGAAAAACAGTGAAAGATGATGGTGTGTTTACTGTTATTTTTATGTCTTTAGGCTTGAAGTTATGTTATTAATAACTTTTTCTGTTAAGAGATATCAAAATGGGTGAAAATAGAAACAAACCAGAAGCGGAAGTTGGGGGAAGCCTTGGAGGGGAGGGAGGGAGGAATATATTGTAAATGTTAAGAATTTGAGGTGTATGTAATGAATAAAAAAGAAAAATGAATAAAACAACAACAAAAAAAAACAACCTAGATGGCTTTTAAAGAGCGCTATGAGCAGCTACTAGCCAGGATGTCTATGCTGTGCCTCCATGGTCGGAGGCAGCAATGCTTCTGAATCCTAGTTGCTGGAAACCGCAGGAGAGGAGAGTTGCTCTTGTGGTCGGATCCTGCTTGCTAGTTTCCACAGGCATCCTGTTGGCCACTGTGAAAGCAGGATGTTGGACTAGACGGGCCACTGGCCTGATCCAGCAGCTCTTATTATGTTCCTATACCAGGCTTCCTCAACCTCGGCCCTCCAGGTGTTTTGGGCCTGCAACTCCCATGATAATAAAATAATAATAATAATAAATTATTTATATCCCGCCCTCCCCAGCCGAAGCCGGGCTCAGAGCGGCTATCAACAGTAAAAGTAACACAGTTTCCATAAAATGACTAATAAGGGCAGGGGGGATTCCCAGCGGTCCCACAGATGTTCTTGTTCGATCGTAACAGAGAATGCAACGATTCATTGAAGAAGAAGCATTCGCCCACAAAGCAATTACTTACCCTCTCCATATGAGATAGATAGAAATCAATGAAGTCTATCGGCTCATGCACAGTCTGGTCTTCCTTGTGCTTCGCTATCTCATTCTTCGCAAATGAAACGACCATCTCAATGGAGGACAATGCGGTTTTGTGAGGCCCCGGGAGAAATTTCATGACAAACGGGAGAATTTCGTAGAGCTACAAGGGAAGAAAAGGCACATCCTATCAGCAACACAACCCACGAGTCAACTCCAACCTCATGCTTATATCTGAAGGAGCATCTCCACCCCCATCGTTCTACCCAGACACTGAGGTCCAGCACCGAGGGCCTTCTGGCAGTTCCCTCACTGCGAGGAGCCAAGTTACAGGGAACCAGGCAGAGGGCCTTCTCAGTAGTGGTGCCTTCCCTGTGGAATGCCCTCCCACCAGATGTCAAAGAGAACAACAACTAACAGACTTTTAGAAGACATCTGAAGGCAGCCCTGTTTAGGGAAGCTTTTAATGTTTGATGTACTACAGTATTTTAATATTTTTTTGAAAGCCACCCAGAGTGTGCAGATGGGCAGGGTATAAATAATAATAATAAATAATAAATAATAAATAATAAATAATAAATAATAATAATAATAATAATAATGCTTTGGCTTGTTCTTGAGGGCTAGAAATTTCACCCTGAGTATCTGAAAGGTGAGATGGAGGAGAAATTCAGTGTTGTTCACATTTATAATGTTACAGGGGTAACCCATGTGGTGTTGCCCAGATGATTTGGACTACAGCTCCCATCATTCCTGATCATTGGCCATGCTGCCTGGGGCCGATTGGAGTGGTAGTCCACAGCATCTGGAGTTGACATTGCTGGCTATCCCAGTTTGAACTGATGTCTACTGTAGGCAACCACAGCTCACGGGCCTCCCATCTCATGCTCTCCTTCACCCACCCACCACCAAGCCTAAGCTTCAACCTACTCACGCCATGAAAGAAGCTGCCTCCAAACTGTAAGCTAATCCGAATGGCTTCCACCAGCCTCAGGAATTCTTTATCTTCAACAGAAAATCGGTATCCAAAGGACATGGCGCATATCACGTTGCTGACAGAATTGATGATGTGTAAGGATGGGTCAAATGGCTGCCCTGCAGATGAAATCCTAATGAGATCCAATGCTATATATATATGCTCCTTTCTTGTGGCAAATCCACACTGCCCGGAAACCAATATTCCCACTGTGGAAGGACATGTGCATCCAGAATTGGCCTCCACAGTCACTTACGGACTCATTGTTAAAACCGTGTTTATGGAAGACAATCTTACTCAGCGATGAGTGATCGCCAAAGAAGAAAGAAACCATTAAGAAAGTTCCTTAGTTTAAAAAAGAGTTTAACACACTTTGCCTACTTAATAAAATCAGGGTGAGACAATTGCACAATTCACAGACAATGTAATGGTCTCAAACAACAGCAAGTCCTGTCACCTCTGCAATCCATCATCTTACATCAAGGATTTTTTTTTTTTACACCAGCAGGATGCAAACTAGGCACTGACTCTGTGCACTGCGGCTGCTAAATATTTGTATTCCCAAGCAATCCCTACCCAGTTTACAGGATGCCAGTGGACTCTTCTCTCTCAGCTTCCAAAACTGAACCACTCTTCTGCTGTGAGTCCCAGGAAGTTGCCCCAACCCGCAGATTGTCTCAGGCAGAGGCGGATAACAAACCAGCCTGAGTTAGCCTCATTTTCTTCTATCACATACCCTTTGCACGTGCAAAGATCTCCACAAGCTCAATGGCCGCCTCTTCTATTTGGTGCTCCATGCCTTTCTTCCCCAGCCCCAGCTTCCGCATAGTAACCACGCTGAACCGTCTCTGCTGCTTCCAGGTGTGACCGTTTGAAAGTACAATACCTAAAACCATCACAGACCAGTGAGAAATTATTGCTTACAATATTCATATAAAAGCTATTACATCAGCAGCCTAGAAGACAGCAGTGTAGTCCATGCCTAGGCGTTAAAGAACCTGAGAACAGGAAGACTGGTGCAGAATCAATTTTTTCGTTGTGGAGTGTTATATCTCTGATGTGGGACACCAGTGAATGTTTCAGAAAATGCATATGAGAAACAAGACCTTCATCATCACTCCCTCTATTACGAAACTCAAGCACTGAGTACCAACAGGATTGGAGCCAAAATGAGGCTAACAGCAGGGAGGTATCAGCATGCCCAGTGGGGTCCGAAGCTTGGCAGAATACCTGGGGCCATCAAGAATCAGAGAAAATTAGCGCATGCGAAAACTACTGTTAAAAGAATTCTTTACATTAATTTTACTGGTTACAATGCTAGTACTTCTAGCTTCTTTTTTACACCGCACTACCAGTTCCATTATGGAACTGCGGCTCTTTAACTGATATGCACAGACTGGGAGTGAGTCACTGCCCCAACACTTTGCAGGTACAAACAACATTGAAAGAAGAGAAGCAGAAGAGTTTGGATTTGGTATAATGCTTTATCACTACCCCAAGGAGTCTCAATGCGGCTAACATTCTCCTTTCCTTTCCTCCCCCACAACGAACACTCTGTGAGGTGAGTGGGGCTGAGAGACTTCAAAGAAGTGTGACTGGCCCAAGGTCACCCAGCAGCTGCATGTGGAGGAGCGGGGAAGCGAACCCGGTTCACCAGATTACGAGTCTACCACTCTTAACCGCTACACCAGCGCAAACAATCATGAATGCACAGGCCCATGCTGCTCCCTTTACCATCAGTGCATGTCCTGTTACTTCCTGCTGAAATCCTGTAATTTCCATTCCGCAAATGTTCCGGGTGGAGGGTTGTCCAGCTTTCGTTGAATAATGCAGTAACACTGGGAAAGCAGAACAACTAATAAAGCGGTGTGGATTGTCCAGTATAAATCCACCACTATTCTTGCATCAATGCCATGTTGCAGAAGATGCCCATGGGGAAATGGTACGTCCCATATGGAAGGGTCCTTTGTTTCCTTCACTGGAGAAAAGGCTAGTGAAACCTCCTACCCAAACCAAGAACTTACCCCTATTTTTCGCTGCACTTTTCACGAACGGAGTTTCTGGGCGGTCAGCAAAATCATCCGAATGGTTGATTAGTGCTTCCTTGACTGCTTTGTAGCCGGACAGTATGACTGCAGGTAAAGGCCCAATCCATACCGTGCAAATGTTCCCATATTGCTTTGCCAACTGCCATTCAGATAAAAAAGGAGAGAGAAGAGATTAGTTATATTCAGGTTATTTTGGAAGCTTCAAGAACTGGCTCGAAGGGGCATTTAGATTTGAATCATCCCTCAGGAAATGTTGGAGCCGTAAGGTGTGTGAGAGAGATGAATGCTGCAGCCCAGGGAAGTCTTAGAACTTATAATGTAAGGCCACCCAGCTGGATGTTACCGGGAATGGATAGAACATGATCTACTATTCCGGCTGCAGGTTGTGTTTCTTATGAATCTTTTGTGGTTTCAGTTTTGCAGTGTAAGCCGTCTGGGCTGGGCAAGTGTCACTTGCAATTCAGGGCTCTAGCCAGTCAGCCAGGACCACTATCAGGGTGCTTCATAACATTCCACCTCCTAACTGGTTTTCCACCTCCTCCCACCAGCAGGCTGTGTCCCAAAAAAACTTTGCAGTCCTCAATGTGACATTTTGGGGTGTGTCCTCCACACAGCCTAATGCATTTTCTAAAGGGTTTTTTGTGCACTTGAGCCACAGAACCACTGTCCGGTTCATGGGTGGTGCCATTTTTGGATATATAAGAAGCCATACTTGGGGGGGGGGGTGTTGCAGTGTTAGCTGAAGCTTTTGAAGCAATAATAATAATAATAATAATAATAATAATAATAATAATAATAATTTATTAATTATACCCCGCCCATCTGGCTGAGTTTCCCCAGCCACTCTGGGCGGCTTCCAACCGAATATCAAAACCAATACAGCATCAGACATTAAAAACATCCCTAAACAGGACCGCCTTCAGTTGTCTTTTAAAAAGTAAAATAGTTGCTTATTGCCTTGACATCTGCTGGGAGTGCGTTCCACAGGGTGGGTGCCACTACCGAGAAGGCCCTCTGCTTGGTTCCCTGTACCTCACTTCTCACAGTGAAGGGAACCACCAGAAGGCCCTCGGATCTGGACCTCAATGTCCGGCTGGATAATGGGGGTGGAGACGCTCCTTCAGGGATATAGGGCTGTTTAGGGCTTTAAGGGTCAGCACCAACACTTTGAATTGTGCTCGGAACTGTACTGGGAGCCAATGAAGATCTTTCAGGACCGGTGTTATACGGTGTCGGCGGCCACTGCCAGTCACCAGTCTAACTGCAGTCTCACATAAAGCACATTGTGGTTGTCACTCCTTGAGGACAAACCTATAGATCTCTGCCTTGAGACAGTAGCTTTCTAAGAAGGTGACATATCAAATTAAGATGATAAAAGGTATTTCTGCAGTTAGCACATGGCCTTAAATAACTTTTTTGCACCTGCTCAGACAGGCTTCCCTTCAACCACAAGAATCTCACCTACTCCCAAAGAGTCAGGTCTCTCTCTCAAAGGCAAGAAGTTAGTATTTGTTCCACTGAGGTCTCTTTATTTGTTTCCACATCCATCGATGGGTAGAATATCACAAACTTTTATATGAGATAATGAATATGCCCATTCACCCGGTTATTTCACAATCGGTTAATTTTTATTAAAAAAGAAATATAATTTTCGTTGGCAATGTGACCAAGCAGAAGAGAATTCTTGACTAATTGGCTGGAATTACTGGAAAAAACCCTGAAAAACTAATTGGATTGAGAACTGCGTAACTAAATTTCTGATAGGATACACACTAACCTTTAATACGATCAGTAGTTTTGTTTGAGAGAATACCAAAAATATATTGCTTCAAGGATTTCTTCTGCACATAAATTCTTAAAAGACCCATAGATCAAGCACTCCCAGATATGGTCCATGGCCACCACAAGCTGCATTAATATGCTCCACAGCATGTCTGTGGATTTGAATATTCATTTTGATTTCTTATTGTATTTGTATTCCTTCTTTTATTTCTTACACGGTGCATTTTTTTGCATTACAATTTTAATCTTATGGAATTAAAATTGTAATACATTAAAATTCAATATGTAAGAAATAAAAGAAGCAACAACAACAAAAACAATTTAAACAATGCAGCACCCAACACAGCACATTGCAATTGCCACAGCAGGCAGAAAAATCTGCCAAGACCGCTCAAGCCCTAGATTTCACAGGTGAATAATTATCTACAGTTCTCAAATAAAGGAAATAATTTGCAATGCCTTTTCGCTCTTCCTGTTTTTCATCTGACAAAGTATTTTGAAAGAAGTACCTTGATGAAAGTATCCAGAGAGAGCATGACCCCCAACCGCCACATGCCTCCGATGATGGGAAGTCGAAGGGGTCCAGGAGGGTAGCGCTTGCGGGACCAGGGCAGTTTCATTAAGTGCAGAATCTTACGCGGAACCAGAGTAATCAGAGATTGCAATGCTCGCAACATGGTCCAGTCTTCCTTTATTCCAGGCAGAGCCGAGTGAGAGGAATCCCCTTTTTCTGAGGGCATTTTGCGTTCATCAGAGACATCACCACCTCTCTCATTTTCCCGGCTAGCACCTATTTATGTACTCCACTTTTGAAAGACAAACTGGACTCATCTGACTCTCTAACTAACTAGCATTTATTATAATTATCTATTTATAGCACACCTTCATGACTGTATCTGTTATCAAGATGGGTAATTGTTTTATCCCCATTATATTATAGTCTGGGTTTCCATTGCAGTGAATCAAAATATTTCTGTCCTGTGACAGCCTTTGGGTCTTGGTTTTGTTTTCCAGTCATTCTTGCTAGCCTCCTTTCCTCTACTGTTCTGTTACAGATTCTGTTACGGCAATAGTTATTTTTATAGTATTTGTTCATTTTATACAAATTTTGTTTTTCCTTCTCTTCTTGTAAACAGAAAACTGAGATATCAGGGTTGTATTTAACTAACTTTTAAATGGGGTGAGCTGCTTGTCCCATATTAAACTAGGTCTTGCGTTTTTTGTTATTATTATTATTTTTTCTGTGACAATTATTATTATTGCTTCTCCTGTCTACTTCCCTGTTTCCAATAGCTCTATGGCTCAGGCAAGTTTATCCCAGCATAAACATGCTGTCACAAAGATGAGCAAATTATCCATTTCATTTTCTCATTTTCCCATTCTTCAGTTCAGTCCCCCAGATTTCTGCCTCTGTTCTTTCTTGAAAAAAATTAAATCCTAATAATAATAATAATAATAATAATAATAATAATAATTTATTATTTAACTATGGCAAGTTCTTAAAGAAATGGGAGTGCCTGATCACCTCATCTGTCTCCTGAGAAATCTCTATGTGGGACAAGAAGCTACAGTTAGAACTGGTTATGGAACAACTGATTGGTTCAAAATTGGGAAAGGAGTACGACAAGGCTGTATATTGTCCCCCTGCTTATTTAACTTATATGCAGAATTCATCATGCGAAAGGCTGGGCTGGATGAATCCCAAGCCGGAATTAAGATTGCCGGAAGAAATGTCAACAACCTCAGATATGCAGATGACACAACCTTGATGGCAGAAAGTGAGGAGGAATTAAAGAACCTTTTAATGAGGGTGAAAGAGGAGAGCGCAAAATATGGTCTGAAGCTCAACATCAAAAAAACGAAGATCATGGCCACTGGTCCCATCACCTCCTGGCAAATAGAAGGGGAAGAAATGGAGGCAGTGAGAGATTTTACTTTCTTGGGCTCCATGATCACGGCAGATGGTGACAGCAGTCACGAAATTAAAACACGCCTGCTCCTTGGGAGAAAGGCGATGGCAAACCTAGACAGCATCTTAAAAAGCAGAGACATCACCTTGCCAACAAAGGTCCGTATCGTTAAAGCCATAGTTTTCCCAGTAGTGATGTATGGAAGTGAGAGCTGGACCATAAAGAAGGCTGATCGCCGAAGAATTGATGCTTTTGAATTCTGGTGCTGGAGGAGACTCTTGAGAGTCCCATGGACTGCAAGAAGATCAAACGCATCCATTCTTAAAGGAAATTAGCCCTGAGTGCTCACTGGAAGGACAGATCGTGAAGCTGAGGCTCCAATACTTTGGCCACCTCATGAGAAGAGAAGACTCCCTGGAAAAGACCCTGATGTTGGGAAAGATGGAGGGCACAAGGAGAAGGGGACGACAGAGGACGAGATGTTTGGACAGTGTTCTCGAAGCTACAAACATGAGTCTGACCAAACTGCGGGAGACAGTGGAAGACAGGAGTGCCTGGCGTGCTCTGGGTCCATGGGGTCACGAAGAGTCCGGAACACGGACTAAACGACTAAACAACAACAATTTATTATTATACCCCGCCATCACCAGCACTTTCCTGCTAAGTTTCTCCCAATATCTACAGCTCTTTTGGTCATTTTTGGCCTAATAATGCAATAGTTTTTTGCAATTCGTCTTTTGAGTTTTCCCGTCTTGCGAGGCATTCGTCTTGCGATGTTGGTACCACCTGTATTTGTAATTTGTGAACTAATATGCAACTATTTTTTGCATGCAGTTTTGCCCACGCTGTATGTTTACTTATGACTAATAATATGCATGCTTTCACCCTAGCATATACATCTTTCTGAAACCATCCTCATCCCTTATTCGCAAACATATATATTGTTTAACATGTATCCAGTTTTTGCCATTTGATTAACCAAGGAAAAGGGCCCTATGAATTTCCCTGTTTGGAAGTGCTCGGGTCACATGCAGCATTTGCTAATTTGGAATTGCTGGTATATATCCAAAACACTTTACTCAGCCCACTGAGCTACAACTCAAGTATTTGCCTGAGTTTTCTTCCAACTCTGAGCCACCTACAGTTTTGCTGCAAGTAACAGACTAACGATATTATCTTTATAGCTAAACTGTCCTACCTGTTTCCATCCACTGTTGAGCAATATGAAACAGGGGTTCAGCAGCATGTCATGATCTTTTAAGTGCTGTGTTATTTCATTTTGCAGGCTACCTTCCTATTTCCAAAACTTTTTAATGGCGCCATAAGAGCCCTGCTGGCAGGACCACACCTAGGGGTTGGCCAGGTGGGTATTTGAGCGCTCACTCCAACTTGCTTGTCTCATGCACAACTAAACATGGTAGGGACTTAGGAAGTTGAGGCCACCCTCCCCTTCATAGCCGGCTGATTGATGCTCCAGGATAGCCAATAGTGGAGCAGCAGCCTTTTCAAAGGGCGAGAGGAGAAAGAGCAGGGTCCCACCACTGAGTTTGAGTAATGTTTGTTTTGTTTTGTTTTGTTTTGTTTTGTTTTGTTTTGTTTTGTTTTGTTTCGTTTCGTTTCGTTTCGTTTCGTTTCGTTTCGTTTGTAAGATGAAACACGTGGCCAGGCATTTGGGGAAGGGGGCTTTCTTTGTTTTGGTCCACTGCCTTCTATTTTTTTACTTAATTAATTAATTACATACACTTCAGGTTACAGACTCCGCTAACCCAGAAATAGTGCTTCAGGTTAAGAACGTTGCTTCAGGATGAGAACAGAAATTGTGTTCCGGTGGTGCAGTGGCAGCAGGAGGCCCCATTAGCTAAAGTGGTGCTTCAGGTTAAGAACAGTTTCAGGTTAAGAACAGACCTCCGGAACGAATTAAGTACTTAACCCGAGGTACCACTGTACCACCCTATACCCGGAGGTCTAAGAGTGGTTCATAGAACAAAATCAAAGTATAAAACCACAAAACCAATAACCCTGCCCCCCCAAAATAAAACCACATTTTAAAAGGACATAGGATGTCAATCAAATCAACCAAAGGCCTGGTTAAAAAGGAATGTTTTTGCTTGGCGCCTAAAGGTATATAATGAAGGCACCAGGCGAACTTCTGTTATTAGCATTTTGTCCCAGAAGCAGCAGCTCTGGTGCCTGTGAATCCGAGTGGATCACTGATCAGGTGTCCTCTATTAATCCTGCCAATTAATAGTTTTTGGAAAGATGCTTCCCCCCCCCCTTGTCACACACACAACTAAATGCATATTTTATGATGGCACATGCCACCTACAATTGTTATTGTTATTGTTATTGTTATTGTTATTAGAATTGGTTGTGGTTTTTTTATTTTAAAAAATCAGTATTTTTTCCCCAGCACTTCTTATATCCCTCTGTTGCAGACCATCCTTGTTACCCCTTATATCACAAATGCAGGGGGAGGAAGCAGAGACTGGCAGAATTGCCAGGACTTAATGACTTTCTTCTAGGCAAAGGCTGAAACTACAAATGGTGACCTGCTCAGGGAAGCCATTCTAGTCTGTTTAAAGAGGACTCTGGGGATTATATCTCTAGGAGAAGACTAGGGGGTCTCCAAACAAACTTGGATTCTTTGGGGGACTCCGTGACTGTTAAAGTGGTATAAGAGTGCTTTAAATGATGCTTTAATTAAGATTCCTGCATTGCAGGGGGTTGGACTAGATGACCCCCGGGGTCCCTTCCAACTCTACAGTTCTGTGATTCTATGAATGCTATAGATAACAAATGGCTTTTTTTTAAAAAAGCCTCAAATCTGTGACAAGAAAAGATGTAACCCTAGTTGTTGGATGAACTTGTCTGACTATGATGCATGTCTGTGTGTGTGTGTGTGCGTGCGTGCGTGCGTGTGTGCGTGTGTGTGTGTGAATAAATTCATTAACAGCTATATGGAAAGGGATGTTGGAGGCAAAGCTCTGTTAATTTGTTGCTATCTCCAGCTCTTTCTTTCTTTGGTCAGGTTTCTACATTTACCATTCTTCTGATAGGCAGAAATTCAGCAGGTGGGGAGGATGTGAGTCATTGCCTCAGACCATCGGCTGGGTGAGGACTGCAGGGCCTGCTCCCTTCCAGGGCCTTCTCCAACTGGCCCAGGCCCTTATTTGGAACAAACTTTTGGGGAAGTGTGGGAAGTGTTCTGCCATTGCTTCCCTGTTACAGGTGGTTAATGTGCTTTAAAATGTCCCCAAGCAGTCGGTGGCAATTTAAATTTTTATTCCTTTTTTTCCCTTTTTTTCCTTTGTTGGTGGTGGGTGGGATGGATAGTTGGTTGGGGATTAATTTTAGTATAATTGTTCTGTTCCTTTTTGTTGTTGTTGTTTTATTGGTTCTGTATAGTTTGTGTTTTGTTTTTAAGGGGCAGGATCAGGGCTGCCTGGGAGTGGGTCCCCAGCCAACACGATGGCTGGGACAAGTTCCACAGGGGGGGAAGCACTGGGACATCCGATCTCGGTGATCATGGGCAGGAGGCGGAGTTACGCTAAGACCAGGCCATGTCATTACCGAGGAGGCAGGTTTAGTCGTTGTTTGAAGACTATCCCTGCCTCCGGGTCTGGCCTTGACTGCATGGATACTGGAATCAACAGGGGAAACCCACATGACCTGAAAGTGTTGCTGTGCAATGCCAGGTCAATG